AACCTATTGCAATAAAACGGCAATTTCATACTTTAACCCCTAATATTAAGTCATGGAACAAAAGTTGTTGTTTATGATGTTAGTAATATAATCCTGCGAGGTTGTTAGTATTTTAAAAATAACCCTATATTAGTATTAATTGTAGAAATAAATAAGTGCTGGATATGTAAGAGTGACCTTTAGAACGCTGCTTTGTCAAAACAATCTGCTTTATACCCATTTATACATTGGTATAAATGGGTATAAATATAAAAATAACCCTCTGAATTTGTCTATTTCATGAATGATGATCTGGTTTAGTCTAAATTTGCTCCACAAAGGAAAATAAATGGCGCAATTTTAGACCAATACACTTCTAACCGCTACAAAAGGAGTTCTTTCATAATTCAATTTACTATTCTGAATGATTGAACGACCATTCTCCTTTATTACAGGGACGGCGTTCGGCTTTGTCGGCCTCTGTGCTGTGGTCCTGGTGTCAGCGCATGCGATCGCAGCGTGCCTTTGTGCACTGCGTATAAAGATGGCGTCGCGCCTACGCCCCGCGCGCTCGCATTCTGATCGGCTCACGTTACCTACGCACTAAGGGTCCCGAAAAAATGGTTAAGCTAGAATTAACCTACAAAGATTTTTATAAGTCTCTACTAAATATCGTATTACAACGTCTCATGACATTCTTATGTCGACGGCGCGGCGCAGCGACTCAATACAATATAGTGCGGCATCTGGTGGTATTTAGAACATTATTGAAAGAATGAGGTGATGGGATAACTGAAACTGATATTTTGCACATATTGCTTTTCAGACGATCTCTTATTTTCACTGCCATAGCTATTTTCAAACTTTCGATTTGAAAGTTAACAAAAAATATATATTTCTAACAAACATTTACTTGACTGAAATAATAAAATGAAAGCAATATTGAGCAATTGTAACAGGCGTAGAAGCATTGCAAAATTTACTTGTTTGTGAGGTCCCAAAATCGTTTTATGTGATATTCTATGAAAAACGTAGTAATCTTAAGGTGCCTTTAACGTACTCTATAAGCATCTATAACAGTGGCTTATTTTTGTTTTGCCATTGTACCACTAATTAGGTATTAAGTCATTAATATTGTAGCATAGATAATTGATTGAACATGATGAGAATAGGCAGTATACAGCTAGGGTTGGATTTATCACTAGGCCAACAAGTCCCCGGCCTAATGACGCACAACGTCAGGGCGCTAAATAAAATATTATTTTATGAAATAAAATATTAAAAAAGCTCTTCGGGCCTAGTGGAGCCCAAACTTTAAATACATTACGGCCCAGTATACATTTCGATAACAAATACCCATAACACGTTTATTCAAATTATTTTATATTTAGATAGGTAAAACTTATAAATGACATTGCAATACACAACACACAATCAGTTATTTGACATAAAATGTTTGTATTGAATCAACTCACATGAATACGGTAAAAATTATATCGAAGGAACTGAGTACATGGATTTATTGGGAATAAACCAAAATTAACGTGAGTTGTTTTTCGATATCGTGACCAACCCCAGAAATGTACATGGTTTAAAGATAGAAGAGAGAGGCTTAAAGATTCTACGAACGAAAATAGTTGATAACTTTGTTACGGTTGAATAGGAGAATTATAAAAATTCACTTAAACATAATTTGTTTCATGTGGTTCGTATTATTTTGGTGCCTTTCATGTGTTAAATACACTTTTGACGCATGATCACATGTGGCTTTATTACCCATTTCATCAGACTGCTTCACAAATAGTGACATCAGCGAAGGGCCACAATTTTAAAAGTATATACTGATATTCTTGAAATAAGTGATAGATGCTTGTCTCGATTTAATATAAAACTATAAAAATATATATATAAATGTATATACTTTTATCGTAATATTGTGGCTTCTTGGATGCTGGTAACGTGTTAACCCACAAAAATTCGGACTTGGAGATTTTAATGTCAAATTGTAGCCTGTCGTCTGGTTTACATTTTACAAACATAAAGTAAGTTATTTGAAACTTTCAAATATTAGAAAAATTATAAAACCATTTTACAAAAACTATTTTTCCGGATTTAAATCGCGTATATTTGTTTTTTCCAAACAAATCGACGTTTCGGGCCCTATACAGGTCCCATGGTCACGGTTGACTGAGGTGGTACAGTCTTCAACCAGTTATGTCTAATATTAATGCAAACCACCCTATTTTTTCACTATAGTTACAATAGTTATTAATGAAATACCTTATTTTTAATTTTACAAAGAAAACATTCCAATTTACGCTACATTAAGTTTTACAAATTATTTTATTGAATGAATTTTTTCAAACAAACCGACGTTTCGGGCCCTTTACAGGTCCCATGGTCACGGTTGACTGAGTTGAGTTTACAAGCTTGACTGTGAGTGCGGTCTCTCTTACATTGGACAAACAAAGCGAAGTATTTGTACCCACGTCAAAGAACATATAGCTGATGTCAAACACCGTCGCGTAAACAAGTCTGCAGTCTGCGAGCATGTCATGGATAAACCTACACATTCAATGAAGTTTGACAAACCCCAGGTTCTTGCAAAAGAAGTCCGTTATCTACCCAGGATGCTGCGAGAGGCCATTGAAATTAAAAAACATCCTAATTTCAACAGGGAAGATGGTTTCTCCGTACCACCAGTTTGGGATCCAGTATTTCCTCTAATGAAAAATCCCAAACAGACATAAGACTGCAGTACTAATTAATATGTTTTAGTTTATTCTAATTTCTATTAATAATTAATAATAAATTAAACTTAATAAAAATTCATTCAATAAAATAATTTGTAAACCTTAATGTAGCGTAAATTGGAATGTTTTCTTTGTAATATTAAAAATAAGGTATTTAATTAATAACTATTGTAACCATAGTGAAAAAATAGGGTGGTTTGCATTAATATTAGACATAACTGGTTGAAGACTGTACCACCTCAGTCAACCGTGACCATGGGACCTGTAAAGGGCCCGAAACGTCGGTTTGTTTGAAAAAACAAATATACGCGATTTAAATCCGGAAAAATAGTTTCATTTCCTATGTGTAACAATCGCGAAAACCTAAGAACTCGACATTTTACAAAAAAGTATAGAATATCATGGTTTTGGCGGTACGTGATTAAAGCGACATCTCTAGTCAGCGACGATAGCTGCCTCTCTGAGTGAAGAAATAATTTTCTCACGCATGGCGCTATAGCGTAAAAAGTTGTTAAAAAACCTTAACCTTAAAAAAATTAAGATTTGCTAACAACAACAGATAAATTCGTTAGATCCGCTGATTCGTTCCGTGACTTGGTTGGCATAGCGTCTAGTACGGTTTGCTAGAAGACGTCGGTTCGAATCCGGGCGGATGGACGGAATATTTTTCTAAGTGTTCAATCTTTGTTATTAATAATTACAACAAAATAGTGAAGCGATTTTGCAAAAAATAATTTAATATCATAGTAGCAAAACATCGTGACATTCAATAAAAACTTGAAAATAATAAAAACAGTTTACATAAAAACCCATTAACCAAACCAAGTAACAAATATTTAGGTGCCATTTTCTCAAATCGATCATGTTGGTTAACACGTTATCGCTTATCAACCTCTTGTCTACCGATTGAAAATTACAATTTTGAGATTATAACTTTAGTTAAGATGACAGACAGACCGTTACTCCTCTGCAGTTTTTTGAATATTTCACATTCCCCTAAAGGTATTTCATAAAATTTTCTCGATTTTTGACAGTCGTTATTGTCGCTCGATATGGTGTTTTGAAGATCAATAAGATCTGTCAGCTAATAGATTTGCTTGACTTTACCGATCGTTACTGTTGCCCATTAACGATCAAGGTTAAAATCGAACAATATTTATAGGCACCTACGCCTAATTTAAATTCCACAGTGTCTATAGACATAAAATACGATAGGAATTGGCTGTTGCTTACACATTTACTCGATTGTCTCTGATCACACGTGTCGATCTACTGGAAAAATATTATGTTGATTGTATGTTGCTTACACATTCACTCGTTTTGTTTGATCACCAAAAAATCGAGCAAGTTTGTAGGCACCTTAAGATACTTACCACTCTCTTGCGCTTAATTATATAATAGTACTGTATGACAGTACGTTTTGCATTTATGACTTCACAGTCAAACTATACTTCTTTATTATTTATTTGTATTGTACAATTTAGTCGACAAAGATGTGTGACAAATTAAATAAGTAGTGACCGCAACGTATACGGCTGTATGCTTAACGAGGGCTAGTTAAAAAGGGTATCGAAAGATGTTTGCAAATTTTTTTAAGTATGGCTTTTAATAAAATATACTCAATCCTTAAGTTATGTCCTCGATGGAATCTATTCACGTTAAGGTACTATTTTCCAAAGTCCAAGCTTCGGCGCTAGTCGAGTTTGTAATGTATTCTTTATAATTATAATTTTGTTGCTCATCAGTTCACTACAGCAACTAAAGATTTTCCTTAACATTTTAAATGCAAGGTTAAAATTCCATTAAAGTTACGACGCGACTTTTTATATTTGCATTGTCGTTGTTTTTCTTGAAAATGTACTAGACGGTATCAAACCCTCGGAACCGTACTTATTGATAAATCTAAATATTACCTTAAATGTTTAGATATAAGTATAACGTTTGATGTGAAGTTTCCAATTGAATGAGTTTCTTAAATATCATTACATTTGCCTGATTCTGTAAGACCCACTCCGAAACGTCGACTTTTAAAAATAGTACTGTAAATAGTTGTCAAGTCACATTGTTAATTTAGAATTTACTATTACAATTCAAGTAACATCAAAGCCATGTTAATACAGTCAGACTAAATTTCATGCAGTTTTATATGTGTAATGTGTCTGATTGAATTTCACATCATTTGATATTAAAACTATATATGAATTTCATACTGCTTTTCAAGTGATATTAAAGCTAAGTTCTTGGTCAGATTAAATTTCATACTGCGTTCCATGTGATATTAAAGCCATGTTACTGGTCAGATTGATATTCGTATTTCATATCATGTGTTACTGAAGCCATATTATCAGCATGTCAGATTGAATTTCATGCAGTATTTAATGTGATATCGTTCGTATTGAACGGCATATTGCGTTTCATGTGATATTAAACTAAATTATTTGTGAAATTGAATTTCATACTGCATTTCACGTGGTATTGAAAGTAATTTTGTTGACCATTAAGTTTCTTAGAACATTTTTAATGCTTATAAACTGCAAAATAAGAAATTAATTTTATTATTATTTATATGATATTCGTAAAATGTATTAATTTATAATGGTTGCTTAAAATTTTACAATTGATTCACATCCTTATTTTTTGCTTCACCGTCTTTTACAGGCAGTTAATTGTTACACCCAAAGAGTGAATATTTCACCAAATATTAGGAACAACTTTTCTATAGTGACTTCTCTGAAACAGTAAAAAGAAATTCAACATTTAGTAGGGATATATTTAGTACAGAACTATAGTAAAAGTTATTCGTATTAATAGGTGGAATCGTCTCCATCTTGGTGTAAGGCAATTAATACCTTGTATTTAAACAACTTATGTCGACTGCACCCTGTGATTTAGGTCATAGTAAAGTATCGTTCCTAGCTTAGGTATTACTGTAACTTTAGGTAAAATGCTGTGATGTGGTGATATATATTCTAGATCACATGGTAATTTCTTTGTAAAAGTAATAAAATTATATTATGAAACAATTGAATTATGTTTATTTTCAGTTAAACGTCTTTTCATTTAAATGTATAAATTAAATATGATACATCACATACGTTCCTAAGATCCCAAAGTAACAATGGACTTGTGTTATGGACATCGGAAACAACGACGATACCACAAAATCCAAACCCGAGACAACATTGAAAAGTCAATTTCTACATTGACCGGAATCGAACCCAGGGCCTCAGCAGATATGACGACATGATAACTGGTGTGCAAGCCACTCGACCACAGAGGTCGTCGAAATGTATTTTCATTAAAATCTAAGTTGTCCTCAGAGTCAATGTTCTGACCATAGCAGCAGTACAGCTCCTTGTGAAAGAGTTTGTCCTAGGAAGTAACTATTACCTAGTACCTATTCTTGACGCCAAGCAGTGATGTCAGCATTACTGTATTCCGGGTTTGAAGAGTAAGGGTGCTGGTGAAATTACAGGCACACGGGAATTGTTCACTTACGTCTGAGGGTGACGGGCGCAGTGGCAGTGCCCCTCAGATCTTTGAGGATACTGCAACTGTTATGGACAGGCGTGTAGCTCCCCATCAGGCGCACGATTTGTTCGTCCCGTCACTTAATATTATAAAAAATATTCACCAGAAATATTTTAATATTTGATAACAATGAACATTATCACAATGACTGTAAAGTGCAATTACCATTACGCTCAGAACGACTCTGATTACTTATCAGAGTGTTTTTTTTATCACTAAATCACAGTCGAGATGAGGTTGATTTTAACAATAGGTTTAGATGATTTAAGTTACTTTATATACTCCGGTGATTTTGATACTGAGTATAAAACACGATTGTCATATGAAATTATTTCAACTCGCACGTGCCGATGGCATCGCTACACGTGCGTGAGGATACCTACTATATAATTATCCTATATCGTCAGATATAGGTACTAACAGCAATTTAAAAGCATACCCAGTCTCAATATAGTTTTATTTGCAAACGTAGATTGTAATTAACCTTGTCCTTTATTTTGATGAAAAATCATTTGTTTATATTTTTAATGTCGCACTTGCAGTATCCTGCCAAATACTGTCGTAACTCAAAAGTGATTAAATTGAGAAAACACAATTTGAAAATTAAAAACTACTGAAAGAATCTTGTTGCGAATAGTGGGATTATTTTTATTTATACATAATAATTAGTTATCCATTTAAACGAGAATATAAATTTATTGGTTCCATTCAGTTTGTGAACTTTCTAATCGCGTCTTCTCAATTCCACGATTTTTGAGTTACGAAACTATTTGGTTTCATGTGCTGTAAATTTCAACTCTTAAGTGCCATTGGATGTCAAGAATAAGCAAGCTAGTTGAGAGTTGCCGATATTAACTGCCGTTGTCTGCACGCAAAAAAGCCTTGCGTTGAATTAGTTTGTTGGTATCTAGACGCCTAATAAATTTAATATAGCAAATCGTTCATGTACATTCAACTTGACTTCTGTAGGCACTTAGTAGCCTAGGAATTGGCTAGCTGAAACTATTTTTAAACATTGAGTAATTTGCACGAATTTTCGTCACATGTAAATGGATGTGCCTTGTGTATAATTGATATCTGCCATTTGTAATCCTGTCAAATCTACGCGTACAGTACCAATGCGTTCCGCCGGTCCTAATCCCCCAAAGGAGGTGGTATCATGTCACATGGCCCACAACATCAGCCCAGTCCCGGTAATCCAAGTACGGAAGAATGCGTCAAATGTTGGAATTTAAATATTCAATGACTCCCAAAAGATTTTCTATTACGGTGTACACACATACCTACATGTGCACCAGTTTGCCCAGCCCGTGTCTATGCCTTTGTCTTTTTTTACAACGGAGAAATGCTTTATGCATACGATCGAGCCTAAGGTGACTCGGAAGTTATGTGGGACTCTCCTCCATAGTAGAGGGCATACCACACCAAAACTCCACCGGCACTGCCCGCAAGCCTGGGTGTTGTGGGTGCCGTGGGATCCCGAAGATTCGACCACATCCATGCCTATGTCTGCCGCTAAGCAGTATGTGAGCTTTACTGTGTGTCGGTTTTGAAGAGTAAGGGTGGTGGTGAAATTACAGGCACATGGCACTTTTGAATTTATATCTCAGGGTGACGGACAGTGTCCCACAGTTCTTTGAGACCTAAAGTTCTGAGCGGAATTCCAACTCTGGCATCCCTATCATAAGTAACGCATTTATATTTATTTCGAGATATTGGCACTTAAATTTTTTTCTTCAAAAAATGTTAATTACGCTGATTTTGCTTAACAATAAAACTGAAACTAAATAAGATATAAAAAAAACCGCTTATAGGGGTTTATAGATCTCGTTTTGCTGTTTCCAAATATGTCAATAACTCACTTTCACGTTCACAATAATAAGGTCTGACAAATAATTGTAATAATTGAGTTAAACAATGACTGAGCAATAATTGTAATAATTAATATATAATAAAATAATTTTAAATTTGATGGAAGCTGACGCCGCTTATCTGTTGTATCAATGTTATATCCTTAATTTTTCTACGGAAACCCGATACAGAAATTAATAATGTCGACTACGACACTTATGTTATGTTATGTATTTTATGGAGATCATAACTGTTACGGACAGACGTATAGAAGACTTGTTCGTCCCATCACTTGGTATTACAAAAAAAAATCCAGAAGAATACGTAGAACGTGGAGACTTACATTTATAATGACTCCCATAAGTTTTTGTAGTATATTCAAATACCTTTAGTTATAATAATTGTATATCATATTAATACGTATTAAAATTAAATCATCACCGTGGTAACAATAGCTGCAAGCAAATTTATAATGCGTGAAGAGGACATCTTGATGCACATTGAGCGGCGCATGCGCACATCGTACATTTCTTAGTAGCTAGTGCTCGCGTTCTCACGCGTACGCAGCATCCGCCGCGCAAATACTCGGCTCAATAGCGCGCCGAAATACTCGAAAATAGCGCGCATCTACGAATATGCGCACATTATACAATATTTATCCGGATATGTAAAGTCGTTGTTCGGTTGTTTCGTGTTTTAAAGTGAAACAGTGTCTAATAAAATACTGAAGTAAGCATTGTCCTTATATCTTACTTAATTACTTTCATATGATTAAATAAAATAGTAGGTTACTGAATAGTGCTAAGAGTAAATAAAGTTCTTATTTTTCTTCTTTTGACTTCCCGGGTCGGCAGAAATATTTGTATGGCCTACTTTGGGTGTAATTTGTTGTTGTCTATGTTCATGGCACCCGCGATACAGGGTTTCTCTAGGTTATGATTGTTTTATTATGCGTTATTATGTTACTTAGGTAGGTACATACAGCAATTATATACTTCAATTAAGATCACAATATAATTATCTAACATTATTATTTTGCACGATTTATATTTGTTAAGAAATACTTATAAATATTCCACGAAAGAAAAGCGCAGATAAAAATATCCACACAAGCTAGCGATTGCTCCGCTAGACTTAGCCAAAACGTATTACGGAAGATTATAAAAAAAAACATCTTCAATTTTTACTGGGAAAAAATTGTGTAATTCAAACAATATATTAATTACACATCCCGTTTAAACTTCTAGTGTAAGGCAAAACGCCACACAACTAAATAGTAATTTTTATTTAATGCATTAAAACCCCGTATTTGTCAAGAGAATATACAACATTATATGCGCAAAAACATAAAACAGATAAAAAGTGTAAAGAATTGACATTTCAAGCACCAGAATGACTGCGAACAAGTTCCGTACCCTGCCCTGCACTGTTCTTTACGTAAAAAAACTATTCAACAGTTATTAATTTCCGTATTTTTTATAAATGCTAGTGGTATTCGTTGGAATTTAAAACATGTTCCAAAACGTGTTTATATTTTAAAAACATAATAAAAACCTGGGAGCATGAAACAATTAAAAGTATAAGGACGCTCAGTTAATTATTAAGCTCTATTTTAAAGTATGGGAATCATACATTAAATTTGAACTTCAACTATATTTCTGTAAATGAGTAATTAGTTTTGCAAAAATTGCTATAAGAAACCGTGATTCGTAATCTGAACTTAAAATGTATGGACACGGGTGTCAATTCTCAATAAAATAATACTTGCTTTAAAATTATTTCTCATACTTTTCTAAATTATTCTTCTCTCTAATGGGTTTAATAGAAAAATAATAAACTAATGTTTAATAAAAAAAAGAATAGTGCTATAAATTTAGAAAATTGTTTTTAGCTTTAAAAATATGTATGACAGAGTGTACATCATAGAGCGATTGTACATACATATGTATATTTTGGGTTATAATCGTACGTTGTACTGATGTCGTGCCAAAATGCTATGCGTTATAATTAAGCAAAATTATTCAACATATAGTTTATATACACGTAAATACATGTTTAGCTATGTCTTAAACTTTTATAAATTTTCATGCATGCAATTCCAGACATAAAATAAAACTTTTTTTTCACAAGTCGTCCTCCTGATGGTAAGCAAAACGCCTATCCATAACACTTACAGTCCCGCTCAAATCGCGAAGATCTGAGGGACACCGCACTGCACTCGTCACCTGGAGACATAAATTGACAAGTCTCATGTGCCTGTAATTTCACCAGCACCTTTACCTACTCTTCAAAATCGAAACGCAGTAATTTACACATTTCTGCTTGGCGGCAGAAACATATAAGGTGGTAGTACTTCCCTGGACGAATTCTTTCGCAAAGAGCTCTACTGCTGTTTTGTACTTTGTGTACAAAATGTTGCATAACTTTGATAGTACATTGATGTAAAAAAAATATTCGCAAACAATACTGTTACAAGCCAATTCAGAATGACGAAAAATGTATATCCGTAATAACAATGAATTGTCTGCATTGCACTAATGAATCCTATCTAATCTGACGGATGTTTAGAAACACGCCTGCGAGCCATACCTCCGTTGCACATGTTGGTTGCTTATCGTGACCACATCCTGAAGGCCAGGACAATCAGGACGTATTTTCCTCGTTTTCTATAACCCTGAAATCCCTACAATTATCCTACACGCGCAAACTATTAGTAATTCATCTTGTTATATCAATATAATGACTCAATGACCGGTTGTAAATCAAACAGCAGCACGCTACGCTTAACTTGTTGGAACAAGCAAACATATGATCTGTTTTGTGACTCGTATTGACAATAATAGTGCCCTTTACTTTGTCAAAACAAAACTTGACAGAGTATGTTACTTAAGCGTTTAAATTAATCTAAAGTGATTATTTTTATATTATAAAAACGTCTGTTTACTTTGATCAGACTGCTTAAAAACTATCCTTATTTTATTTTTCCACGCGCTTGGTTTTATTTCTTACGTTGAAAACGACGAACTTGAACGTGCTTTATTGTTAAACATATAGGAAGTTGTCAACTCAGGGATTCCTAAACGTCGCCTACTAAATTTTCCAAAGTATGCTCTTAACATAAAACCTGTTATTCACGTCACCTGTCTTAATGTTTGCGGTTTTCCTTTTTTCTTTTTTTTTTAGTTCTTGATCGACCTGACGTGCTTGAATGGGAATATTCATTTCAGAAATTTAGCAATATGTGTTTCTTAACCTATAACTGTACCCTATTTTCAAATAATTATCAGTACCGTTAAAATTGACTGTAGAGACTGCCACACGGAGGTCCCAGGTTGTATGACCTATCTCTCGTGAGTTTGGGTGTAATTTGTGGTTATTTACGTGTGTGTCCATGGCACCCGCGACACAGTATGTTGAGTGTGTGCGTTATGTGTGCGTTATATATATTAATCTTTAATGGTAGCTGCAAGAGTTTAGTAATCATAATTTGTTGCTTTACTAGCGCATTAGGTTAAATCTGTCATGATAGTTTAAGTGTTTTTTAAAAATAAATAAATAAAAACTTGTACGTTTTACTGCCTATTTCAAAAGAACGGAGAATTTGTAGTTTATGTAGTAGCCTAATTGTTTGACCTATCGCCTCTCTAGCAGAAAGTCGTGGGTTCGAATTCGGGCTTGCACTGAGTATTTCGGAATTTATGTGCGAAATTTAATTCGACATTTACCCTGAACTTTTCGGTGAAGGAAAACATCGTAAAGAAACCTGCACACACCTGCAAAGCAATTCAATGATATATGTGAAGTTCCTAATCGACATTGGTCTAACGACGCGTGGGAACTACAGCTCAAACACTCTTATTGTTATAGGCTAACTATTATTACTGTTACCTCAATAGCAGTAGAGCTCCTTGTGAAAGAGTTTGTCCAGGGAAGTACTGCCACCTTACCTATTTCTGCCCCCAAGCAGTAATGTGAGCCTTATTGCGTTTCGGTTTTGAATAGTAAGGGTGCTGATGAAATTACAAGCACGTGGGACTTGTCAACTTATGTCTCAGGGTGACGGGCGTAGTGGCAGTGCCCTTCAGATCTTTCCGATTTAAAACTTTGAGTGGCACTGCAACTGTCATGGAAAGGCGTGTTACTTAACACCAGACGCACGACTTATTCGTCATTTGGTCTCTTGAAGAACTTGAAAACCTTGTCTAGAAATTTGTAATACAATCTCATTATCACTTTATTTTGAGGAGACCAAACTCTATACGAACTAATATCAAATTTTAACTCAACAAATCTCAAGTTTTAACGTAGTATAACAAAATGTAGTTACCTTGACTTTTCCTTTTACATAACAATCGTCCGTAGTAACAACCTACTGTCGATATATGCTAACAAGCAAAATTTGTACAAGATGTTCCTCTCTTAACAACCTTCCCTGAGGGCACCCAAAATTGTTACGCAAACGTAGGCTGCCTTTATTGTACTCACGCATTTGAATAAAGACGGTTTTTCATATAAATTAACACTGATGTCGTTGTGTAATACCGTGTGATATTATTTACTTACGTAGTTATTTACGTTTTGCAATAGAACAAAACATACACTAGTAAGGACAGGACAATATTACATTATGTATATTTGATTTAAAACTATATTTGGATGTACTTAAGCAAAAAGGATCCAATCCACAAAATTATCAAAAAATGAGTTATATGTACCAAACAGTTCCCAAAGTCCAACCTCTTAGATCAGCAAAAAAATCTAACATATATACATCAATAAATCTCTGGAGTTACATGACATTATAAGTTTTGAAAATAAAACAAGAGTGAGAAACACTTTTAAACTTTAAACTGCCATATCTCGAAAGTGACTGGATGTGCATTGGATCTTTTTTGTTAATCGATGTTTATAATAATAAATTAATAATAGTAATAATAATGTGCTAGACAATCGTACCAATTACCTGATCTGAAACTAGAGAATGCCTTGCACTATGACCGCCAGAGCAACAGAGTTCACTTTGGAGCACTTCCCAGAACACCCAGACCAGATATCCAATTTAGAAAAGTTCGTTTCCCAATTTGGTCCTACCGGGAATCGACCCTGGGTTCTCCTCATCCAGCACCCACAATGTAGACCGTTACGCCACCAATGTCGTCTGAAACTAAGTTACTACATTTTTTTTGTTTCTTTGATTATTTCATTAACGTGGTTAATTAAATAGAATTTTCGCATTGAGCCTTGGTCAAGGGTCATACAAGACTGCTAATAAGAACACCAGTGTCGTCACATGCATATACGTCGAAGTAGCAAAGGTCACAACTTATACTTGGCAATAAATAATACTTCAAGCTAAGAATTTCAAGCTATTTATAACCCTTTGTCTTGTTCACAGCTATAACAGAGGTGTTAAGGATTACTAAATAAAATGTACAAACACGCATACGAAACCAGCTATTGAGCTTTATGACAAAGAGAATATCGAGTTTTAACCAATAAAATGAAGAAACAAGCTGTGGCCCAGAATGCACTGTTTTGCTGCACGGCATCGCTTGGAAAAATAGAAGAAACGGCAGACCAATTTGCGAGGTCATGTCATGGGAATATTTCGCCACTGCTCTGGCGAGTACCCAATCTAATATGGGCCCTCTGCATAACTTTTATCTCGGTGACCTCGTTTTGGGGGCCTACAGAGATGTTCCTACTGTACATGACGCATTGGGGCTTGATGTTTATAATAATTGAATCTATCTTTGGAATCGTGGTAGCGGTCATGGAACGCAATGAAAAGTCTGGTAAGAATTTTGTTTGTTACACAACTGACGTAAGATATTCATTCATGCAGCACTGATCACGTTATTACACCATTTGTCAGAGACATTAGCACAGATTTCTATACATTCTGCACGTAGATTCAAGTGATGTGTGCATTATGAACAAAAGAGCTCTCCTCAATTGTGACATACAATAAATGACTGGATCGACAGACAATCTCGGTCACGCATAAGGTTTGAATATCACGCAAAAGATGCCCCAAATATACGCTCCAACTCCCGTGGGCATCAAATTCGAAGGTGATATATGATAAACGTCTTACTTACGTATTAGATGTAACGCTCCTAACCCTACGGCCTACTCGTAAATTTGTACATTTATTTTATTACTTTATTTAAGACTGGTATTTAGTTTTAAGAAACTGTGCAAACCAATAAGCATACCTACAGAGATTTTATTACTAATAAAACAAACAGAAAAATAAGTGTTGATTACTTGCTAGCCATGTCCTTAGAGTATATGATGATTAGCTAATGATTCTAAGAAAAATAAAAACATATCTATCACGAGATCATTGTACGGGTTAGTACACATTAATGGCCGATATTGCATTGTGTAGTCGAGTCATAAGACCTTGGTCATCAAAGCAACGAGTTCATTGCAGACACTTGGTTTTACTCCGTCATCTTACGCTTCATTGATTCACGACAGTTTTCGCCGTTCAGTTCAGTGAAATTATTTTACCAAGACAGTCACGTTTGTTGTGATAACGTTCGTATTTATTCGCTGATAACAATTATAAAGCTGTATGGCGAGTACCGTTGATTGTCACCACAGGTACACACACAGTGGCAAAAACAATGATAATCAATACCAAACTCGTTTGTTTTGCTGTGATACGTTAACAGTATGAGTGTTAAGTGGCAACATGTTGTGCGTGCAATGCCAGAATCAATGTCAATGGCGAATGTGCTGGCTGGAACACCCGCTTCCGTCCAACTTCTACGTGAGTTGTTGGCAAAACAACCGATCGTGTCTGCCCCTGTTGATGTTACGGACTTCCCTCTTCCTGTACTCTTCAGGCGTGCTTTTAGCCTCTCTAATTACTCTGCCACTGACGCTGGACATTAAATTCGGATACTGGTTTATTTACATGACGCATTGGGGTTACGTACTTGTTGTATTGACAACGGGATTCGCAACGACAGTGTCTGCGTATGTTTATTTCAAAAGACCTATAGGTACGTATATTCTTAAGTACACAGTAAAGTAAGCAGATTGTTATCCATATTTTAAAATATCACAACGGGAAGGACATAATGTCCAGGTTTCAATAGCAAATATTGACTGGATATCGCAGAAGGTTACAAAAGATAACGGTTTTTGTTTATGTTACCAAGAGATAAAGATCGCAATTGACAATTGTTTATTTGGGATTTCTGTCAGAATCATGTCAATGCTAAACCAACTAACTGTATGTATACAGTAACGACAGTCCTTGCTTGTAGTGTAGGCACATTATACAACTTTGAAATGTCACAACGTGGTCGTTTTAAAATCTAAAAGTTCTAAAACAGAGCCTAAGTATGCAAGCTTGCTTTATAAAAGTATATTCTTGGTGTGCATATACGTGGAATGCTACGAAATAATGACAATGAAAGCTATTTTGTACGAAAACGTAATGTATTAAGACTACGAAAATTCAAGTCGTCTAGCGACAAGAGATACGCTGTCACAACCGACAACTTCACCGTCGCAAATATGGCTGCAACACGGTAGGTAGTTGTTGCGGTTTAATTTTGTGGCCTTATCGGACACCTAAGTATTTATTTATTGTTATTGTCACGCGTATTAAGACACAATGCCTGATAAACCATTTCTTTTTTTATAAAGCCAAGTGGTATGGATAAGCGATACTCTTATCCGTAACAGTTGCAGTGCCACTCAGAGCTTTAAATCGCAAAAATCATATGGAAACTGCCACTGTAAACGCCACCCAGAGGCTTAAGTCGACAAGTCTAAATGTACCTGCAATTTCATCAGCATCCTTACCCTTCCAAACTGAAACACAGTAATGATCACATTTCTGCTTGGCGGCAGAAATTGGTAAGGTGACAGTACTTCCCTGGATTACGAATTCTTTCACAAGGAGCTCTACTGCTACCAAAAATGCAAGCCAAACAAATGCACAAAAAAAACTTACGCCATATTAAAAAGTAGGTTCCTACCGTTCACGCAAAAGAAGAGGAAAAGTGTCCCTTAAATGAGGCCATCGAATTAAACGTTGAAGACATACTGACGGCGCTCGTCAAGTAACACAGTAGAAGCACGTCGCGGTTGGCCTCAAACTCGGGGCTAAGGTCTTAAACTTTATTGTCACGGATAAACGATTCAATCATCTTTCAAACGCATTTATTTTTTTTGTTACGAAAGGGCTTATTTTACGATTTATTAACTACGCATTAACTTCTGAAGTCAATATTTCATACGTATGCAGAGGCTAGGTTATCTTTGACCATCTTGTATGGTAAAGTGTCTATTCTGATCTGCCTAATATGTTTTATCTATATACATATATTCATAAAATTCGCTCGGCAAAACTTCAAGATTTCAACTGTTTGAGGACTAAAGTATTGTAGATAAACAGAAAGACAATATACAATAGACATAAATATAAATAATATATCAATACATTTTATTATAAATGGTAGCATAATATTTCTAAATAGCTTACGAAATGTGTCTTTCGAAATACATTACTATGTGTTTTAATGATTAGTACTGGGATCCATAACTGTGCCGCTAGCGTCATCAGCCTTGAGCACAATCCTCATTTTTAACAAAGTTCAATACGTATTGACAGTTCTATTATGTATCTCTGTTTGTCTAATTTATTGGAGAGTCAAGATTTCTTGAGATTTTTTAATGATCTCTTGGTTTTGTCTTCTAATATCCCAAAAAATACCTCACGGTTTCAAAGGCACAATTCACAGGTTCTTATTAAATAGGATCTGTTGCAAAACGAACGCGGTTGCAGCAAGCACGTCCTAAGTTAAATTGTAACCTTTGAAGTTCATACTAATCAATTCAATATGAGTTTTGCATCGCATCTTGAATTGTTTTGCACAATCACACTAACTATAGAACAATCACACATGAATTTCACAAGCACGAGTATTTATTTAGTCAGTTTAGGCGTAGGTAAATTTTAAGCGATGAATACGCTTCAGAATATAAACATACCTAATATCGCATATCGACTTGAACACAGACACAACTAAAAAATGGCAAACGCAGCTAGTAAAAACATTATGGTTATGTTTTAGAAGTATAAAATCTTAACGTGGAAAGTGTATGTAACTTCAGATTGAATATATTTTTTTGTCTTAAAGCAGGGTGATATCTACACGCGCCATTTTCCTTAACAATACCCAAAAAATATGATCTTTGAATTGTGAGACTGCTGAAACCAGTGAGTCACATTAAACTATATTGGATAAAATCAATCTACTCGTCAATGTAATTTTTTTTTGTTTTCCATTTCCAAAAAAAATGTTTTCCCGTCAAAACTCGCAAAAGAAATCAACTGCATCCTATAAAATATAGGGAACGAATTTTACAATTGTACAGATTGCATAGAGGATAGCAATGACATCATTAACACATTGCGAGGATGAGATTGAGGAACCTTTTCACACAGTTACGTCAGTCAAGTTTGGAAAAAATAGCAATTGGGAAATCAATTAAATGCGTCTTTATTTCAAATATGAATCGTAAAGTTCAATCACCTATTGATTTATGTATTGATTACAGTTTAACATCTGTTTCTCAGACGCAACCTTCGGTTTGCCGTGGTACGTGAAGGTATATTGGGTGCTGTACAATATTACCATTCCCGTCGCGTTCCTGATCACCGTCTTCTACTGGGGCGTTTTAAGAACTTGTAAGTACGCCTTGTTCATATTTCATAGCATATTTTGTTAAAGAAATAATTAAATATTAATGGACCGACTGGGAGGCCGATTGGCTGGCAGATACCTGTTCCAACGTATTAGTGTGGCCATACACGAAAGGAACGCTGCTAGCAATTGAGCTCCCTGGCGCGGGGATCCAATTTCATACATTTAATGCAATCCTAGACCTAGTATTTAAGAGCTACATTGTCTTCCACTCGTCTCTGTTTATATGGTTTTGTTCTGCTACGTATCGTACCTTTGTTACAATAAAGTCACACGTGATAATACGTCAAAAGTGGTTTTATCACATGATTTAAAAATAGTAACTAATGAAAGAAATTATGTATACACTTACGTGAAATTTTATAAGTCTCAAATAGGAGAGATTTCACATAAGTATTTTATGCACATTTTGTTTATTTATACAATATTTATACATAAAAAAGTTATCAAATGTTGTCGTTCGTCGGATGTTTAAATCTCTTTCCTGAAAATTTGTCATTTTTCAGATGTGATATAATGGAACGTATTCGGTTTGTGTAGTACTGAATAGTATTTGTAGATGAATAGTAGTTGTAGATGGCTTCATCAAATACTCATTTGATGAAGCCATCTACAACAAATAAACTATTAATTAAATTATTTTTTCGGATCTAAATAGAGTATATCTGTTTTTTCAAACATTTATTTATTTATTTATTTTTAGAATGTGTAACATAGCAGTTTGCAGTTTGCGGCGTTACAGCAATTCAACAAATAACAGGAATAAAAATAGAAATCAAAGATACTAATCTAAATTAACATTAACTACTAACTACCTTCTTGACTTCTCTCCAACACTCTCTTCCATTCCTAACATAGGTAAGGTGGCAGTACTTCCATGAACAAACTCTCTCACAAGGACCTCTACTGATACTATCAGCTTAAGGTGTCCCATTAAAGTTCAAACCACTATTCTGATGCCATATCTGCTCATTTCCAGAACTTCTATACAGTGTTTAGCACTGTATGCGTTAATTGGGGCTTCTGAGACTTCGATTGGCCCGCAACCAAACGTCTCTACGTTAGGTATTAATTTCGGGTCAAATCAGTTTAAATCTAGACAATAGAATATTTCATTATCTTGTTAGTGCGTCACTAGTTAATATACAAAGCGATAATAGCCATTCTTTACGCAGCAACACGTTAGAATATTCATGACAATACTTAAGTATACTAACGCAAGCATTTTGCTTTACACTACAAACGATTTTACTAATATGCACGTAAAATACCAAGTGTATTTTCCCTAACCATACTTAATGATGTTGAATACAAACGCATTTCCCAGCACAATATTTGGCACACACTCATCAGTATGATGGTTATATTTAGAGCGAACGTTGTGCCATAGATCACTGTATTTCAAATCATCATGTATTTGTATAGTATTCTTGATAATAGTTTGATTTCTCAAGCTATTGTTAAGAATACGAGACAAAACTATTGCTGAGAAAAAAATATTGATAAATATTCATCGCCTGAAGCAAACACACGTCTTAACTTACAGGAAACTCATGTTTGTTATTATATTGTTGGTATGTACTTACCTCAGAGCATGTACTTACTGTAAATAATTTTGTAGGAATTTTTCTTCTGGCTTCTTCATTACGATCGATCATCATCGTACAGGTTTAAAAAAGCACTGACTGCCTTTGTGGCTGAACGGTTGCCACCCAGGTTCGATTCCCGGGCCGGGATAAATATTTATTTGTATGGCCTACATTTATTTCTCTCGTGAGTTAGGGTGTAATTTGTGGTTGTTTATGTGTGTGTCCATGGCACCCGCGACACAGGGTTTCCCTAGTGCTATGAATGTATAAATAAATGCGTTACAGATTTTTGGCTTTCCTTTAGTTTCTCTGTTTTTAGCGTTTTCCATTGCATTTACGAATTTAAAATTTCAAATAAAATTAAAGCTACTTCATGAAGCTAGAAAATAGGGAAGGGTAAATAAATAACTACTCATACTCATTTATTATGCATTATTTAAATATGTAATTTATATTTAATTTCATCATTTTTTACGTTACTTAAATTCAAAATGTCTAATAATAGCGCCCTAAATCCAGGCTTTAGTATGCACTAATATAGAAAAGCCTTGATCAGCATATTATTAATAATGATAATGTACTATAAAATTACTTGGTCTCAAACTATGAAAATCCCTTTACTGTTAGTTAAGTTTACGTAGAGTTAGTTTGTGAATTTAGAAAAAATATTTTCTTAAATTGGTTCTACCAGAAATCGAATCTGGGAACTTTTCAATAAGCACATAGTACTTAAGGCTGACCTATTGAGGACGTCAAAATAAGTTGCAGGTTAGGATAGTATAATGAATGACAGCAGTAGAGCTCCTTGTCACAGAGCTCGTCCAGGAAAGTACTGATATCTTACCTATTTCTGCCACCAAGTAGTAATGTGAGCATTACTGTGTTCCGGTTTGGAAGGGTAAGAGTGCTGGTGAAATTACAGGTACATGGGACTTGTCAACTTATGTCTCAGGGTAACGGGCGCAGGGGCAGTGTCCCTAAGATCTTCACGATTTAAAGCTCTAAGTGACATTGCAACTGTTATGGATAGGCGTGTCGCTTACCACCAGGTGCACGACTTGTTCATCATGTCACTTAGTTACTATACTCGTAAAAAAATATGGATTTAAATAATTACGATATTAATGAACGATAAAGAAGAGAGATCAACTCAGACAAGTTCAACAAACGATAATGTTAATGATTTTGTACTACCATTAAGTAAGACGACAACGCAAAGTAAATAGAACATTTATAAATATAATCGCATTTATAGTAAAACTTACTAACTTTATTTGCTTTTACTTATAAACAGCTTAATAATACTTTACCAAGTCTATAATAGGGACTCTATCACATAGAACAAGAAATTATTATTATCTCGCGTAAAACCTGAAAAATTGTGGAAAAACTACATACTTTGCTCATTCTGACATACTTAAAAATATGCAAAAATAATAGTCGCACCCATAATATTATCCCGGTGTTGTTTTATATCATCGTTAAGGCTTATTTTATTTAATTTTATTGAGAATTGAACTTTCAACGATATGCCAATAGGGTAAAGTTTAATTTATATTAACAGTCCAGAATTTGTTACATCTTTTAAAACTAGAAACTTTGACCAATCATTATCAAGATTTTATAGTGTTTAACATTATGATAGTTTGAGTTTTGCGAAAGCGGTTCTAGTACTAACTTCCATTGCCATTTTTATTCCATACTCTATCATATAGTAACGTCAAACAAATTCCGTGGTTTAACCGCTTCTTTTGATTGTGGCTTCACATATTATTGCAATTTGTAACACCTACCTTCAATGTAGTAGTCTCCCTTCCACCTTCGTAGTATTCTTAAATACTAAAGATCTTGCTTCAATCGCGGTTTGTATGTCGCAAATATAAAATTTCGCACTTGAGCACAGAAATGATGACACCTCGCAGTTACTATAAAAAGAAACTTAAGCAGCAATAATAAACAACTTAACTGTAAAAATGTTTCTTCTTACTATTACAGCTGGCAAGATAGTGAATTACGCCCCCAACCCGGTGATTGACATAATGCTGCACGGTGTCAACTCGTTGGTGATGTTAGTGGAGTTAGTCTTCTCTGCGCACCCCAGTCGCCTGCTCCACGTCATGCAGCCTCTCTACTTTGCTGGAGTTTATCTGCTTTTTACTATTATTTATTTCTTCGCTGGAGGACAAGACCCGTAAGTTTAATCTGCTAAAACACACCAAAGCATTTTTGTTCCCAAAAATCTTTTGAAGCCAACGTTTATGTTGGCAACACGACCACAGGCAGTTAACATTTCAGATAGTCGTTGAAAATTCGACATGGGCGAGAGTCTTGTTATAACTTGTTTTCACCCGACTTAAAAAAAGGATATTCCCAATTCGACTTTTTATTTCTTTTTTTATTTCGACATTTGTAAAACGATTTCGATGATTATTTTTTGTTGGAAAGAGGTCCCATTTTCTCAATAGTGGTCCCATTTAAATTTGAAAAAAAAAAATCCGCCTCTGAGGTTGGCAAAATAGGGAATGGATGACTTTTGAGTTCGGTTTTTTTAGTATTCTGTACTGTTTCGTTACTGATTATGTACATAATTATACAGCAACAATAATTCTATTCTTTCAATTCTACAATCGATTACACTAATTTTGTAGTTGTATTTACAGTGATCTGGATTTAGTGTAGTACCTCAGTATAAAATTCACATTTGAAAAAAATATTCCATCTCTTAAGGATGGCAAATTAGGGAATGATTCCGATTTATTGGAGTTCACCAACTTTCCGTTAACCGATTTCAATAAAACTTGGCAAAAAACACGTAATTCCACAAGGTTTTGAGGTTGGTTTTTTAATAAAATAAAAATAATAATGATAATCAACAATGTACGTATCTTTTCCTAAACATCAATAAAATTTGCCACAATCATAACTTTCGAATAGTGGGTTCACAATCCTGGTTACAAAGATACAATTAAAAAAGGATCACGGGACATGATAACAGTTCAAGTGCCGGTTATTATTTTAGCCGGCTTTTATTACACTAGCTTTGCTCGTCGAAATATGTAAACTGGTTAAGTTGAGTTTCTGTCATCAGTCCCAATGTCTTATTAATAATAATAAATTATAATCTTAAGACAAATGGTTGATTAGGTAGTTCGTGTCAGCGTCACACATTTGTATTGTTGTATTATGGTGTCGTGACTATACTAGTGGGTCCGCTCATGGTTAACGTCAATATCGGTTAACACCTTTTCGTTCAATTAACCGGTTAAATTATAAAATGATCAAAGTCAACCGGCCTTTCTAACGGGTTCTCAGCCCTCCTGGATAAGTATACTAATGAATTGAGTACTTATTGTTATTCTTCAGCACGCTTATGAGGTATTGTGTTGAACGTTATCATCATGAATAAATGCTCGTAGGAATGTAGTAATTAATAACTCACGTTTCTATATTACGTATAATATTTCATTCATTTATTTCAATGCCTTATGAATAGTAAGGACGCACATGGAATGCGAATAACCTGTTCATAATGCTAGTCATGGTCGTCAAGTAAGGCTTGACCTGTTTGAACCGTCTTCATTTTGTAAACCTGCGCGCATTGAAGCACCGGTCCCTAATTTATTGTTTTGCCATAATTGCAAATTAGACATAATCATATACAACCTGACTATTCACCGAATTCATAGATAATGGCTAAATAATTGACTGACCTTTTGCTGTTGTGTAGGGACTGTAGTGCGGGGCTTTGGGTGTGTGTGTTATTATTGAAACAGAAATTTGTTTTTCGTATCTAAATCGGGTACCAATTTACCAAGAGACTTGTAAAAAGCCAGCAGTTTAGTAGCAGTAGAGGTCCTTGTGCAAATGTGCGTCCAGAGAAGTACTGCCACCTAACTATTTCTGCCGCCAAAGTAATGTGAGCATTACTACGTTCCGGTTTTACGTAACTTGTCAACTTTCGCCTCAGGAAGACGGGCGCAGTGGCAGTTCTCCTCAGATCTTTGCGGTTTAGCTCTAAGGTCTGAGCGGTACTGCATCTATTATGGACAGGAGTCTCGCTTAGCCACCACCAGGCGCACGATTTGGTGGCCCCGTCACTTCGTATCATAAAAACTACGGGATTTCGATTCAGAATAAATAGTTACATTTCCATTGTGATTCTATTCCGAAAACTAGATAAGTAAATAGTATTTTGATTTCCTCTGTACCACTTGAACCAAGTTCAGTCAAGAGTTCATCAAGCTTGACATTTTACACTTTGAACAGTTCTTATCGCAAGCTGCATAGAGTTGAATCTCAAATGTCAAGTCTGATGTGCTCTTGACCCTGTACCATCAATTGTACAGTCATAAAGAACCGTATAGTCGTAGCAAAATTAAAGTTCGACAAGTGAACAGTAATATTTATGTATCAATTTAGAATTGCCGGTACGTAAAATGATGACTAATAGATAATAGTCATAACATTTTATACGAGAATTGATATCTCAAGAAAAATTAATTTTATCACTTGTGATATTTTAAATTAATCTGCGATAGAAACAGCAATTTCAGTTTTTGCGAATTTTATAAATGTTACTAAGAAATATTGTTTTATTATAAAACTGTGTTAATTAAACTTTATATAACTCGCGTCCCGCCACTGGACACTACTAATGGATACTAACTACATAATCTTAAGTCATATCAATCATAAGTATTGAATGTTGAACCAAAACGATGCCCTGTGAAACGTACTTTTCTAAATTTGTTTTTTTATGATATCAAGTAATGGGACGACCAAGTCGTGCGCATGGTTAACAGTGCAGTTCCTCTCAGAGCTTTAAATCGTAAAAATCCGAGAGGTATTGCCGCTGCGACCGTCATCCAGAGACAGGTTGAAAAGTCCCTTATGCCTCCTAGGTTCACGAGCACCTTTACTCTTTAAAACTGAAACCTAATAATGGTGGCAGTAATTCCCTTGAACTTTTTCATAAGGAGCTCTACTGCTACCGCGTCTTAATAGAGCTACGAAGCACAGAGCTTATTGTACGCGGGATTCCCTAATTTTAGTCTCAGGTAATTGGTGTGGTTGTGTGGCATATTATTATTATGTAAAATGACTCAATGAAATGAAAATACTTTATACTAATCAACAAATACTTCAAGAATGAAACCTTGACTCTGTTTGAGTGTCAACAAATCAAACATGTCAATATCAATTGCTTGGAGATGGTAAGTAAAGATCTGTCGCAATCTCGACTCTTTAATAAACCTAACACTGCACCTCTAAGTATAAAATATACCACAAACAAACGTTCCTCGTGTTACAATTTTGAATTTAAGCAATCCTCGTTGTTTTTATTTTCTTTGAGGAAACTGCTTCATTTTATTTAGATATTATTACTACCCGTTTTTGTGAAAATTCGTTTATTATTATTTAAAGATAGAACAAACATAAAGAAAATTTCTTCCATCTGACTGGACTCGTATAAGTCGCCGTTCAATTTATATTGCGGCGGAATGGAATGGAAGCGAATCTATAAAGCGATATTGTACATAGCATAATGAACTTTATGATCAATTGTGTAACCTGCAAACTTGATTCGTGCCAAAATCTTCCGCGGAATGCGCGAGAATTCGGAACAATTGAACATTATGCTATGTACAATATCATTACAAAAACTCGCTTCCATTCCGTTCTGCCGCAATATAAATTGAGCCGAATGGCTTGACCTACTGTCTAACTAACAGAGGGCGTGGGTTCGGATCCGGGCTCGCAACTCTGTGTTTTCGGAATTAAGTTCGAAATTTCGTGAAGAAGGATAAGAGTACTAGTGAAATTACAGGGCACATGAGATTTGTCAACTTATGTCTCAGGGTGACGAGCGCAGTGGCAGTGCCCTTCAGATCTTTGTGATTTAAGCTCTGAGTGGCACTGCAACTGTTATGAACAGGTGTGTCGCTTATCAGACGCACAACTTGTTCGTCCCGTCACTTCTTCATACAAAAAATTATGTTTTTATTATAATTTTCCATGATAATTATCGTAGTCATTTCAGTCATTACATCTGACCCGAATGATCTGGACTATAACGAAAATAACTCGAACAATTGCACGACGCGACGAAAACTGTACAAAATGTAGGAAATTGCACCAATGGAGACTGGGCTATGGATTTGTGTAATAACGAAACCATTAACAATATAACAAAGAAGCAAAGATGTCGAGTAAATTCATTTATTTTATAAATTACAAATATCCTTTTGTAAAATATGCAACCACAATTTAAAAACATTGGCAATTATAATCCAACAAACATCAACGAAAATGTTAAAACCACAATAGTTACCCGTAATTCAGGTTTTTCTATACCTATCTCGGGCACCAGTCTCTCACAAAACAGTCTGACCAATTTTTGGTCTTGTATTTTAAGTTCCTTACTCTTAAGCCTGTTTTGTGATTGAGAAATAAATAAACTTCATTCATTCATTCA